GGTGATTTTTCCAATTTTCTCTTCACTCTTGGGGCCAGAATTCCCGCACAGGTTATGTCAAACTCAAAGTTCCTCTGTTTGCTGATTTTATTTTTTATTGTTTGGGTAAAAAAAATGTGTTTTTTTCATGGATGTGTGGTTATTTGGGGAGTTTGGTGCTAGGGTCTTATTGATTAAGCTATTGATCAATATGGGTGAGTACTGAGTAGGATAATTAGTGCAAGAGCTGGACGTAATGTCATTTTGTGTTAGTTTGGTTTTTTCTTAGTGCTTCAAGAATTTAAGTTTGGGCATTAATTGAGAAGAAAACTTTGATTGATGAACATTGTTGTACATAATTTTGTCGCCTTGTATTTTCGAGTTGATCTAAAAATCTCATTGAACCCTCAAAGAAAGGGGGTGAAACAAAGCATCGAGTTCGAACAAGCTTGTGAAGTAATCTCCTAACGTCAAGTAATTTGGTTGGTTTTTCAACCCTCTTAATCAAGGTGATCAGCTAAGAGCAGACAGTATTCGGATTTGATGTTTGGAAACTCGAGGGATTAATAACAAGGTTTAAATACTTAAACGAAGAAAGGAAAAGGAGTAAAGTTGGATTCTTTGGCTTTAGTCCCTTTGGAATTTGCCACAAATGGCCAAGAGCGAAGTGCGTCGAAAATTACTCCTTGTAATTTTGTTATGAGCTGGTTTACGAAAAGCTTGTACATTACACATTCCATTTTTATGAAACTTTGGAAAAGAATAACTTATCAATATCGGTGAGGATATATATACTCCTGCATCTTTTTTCTTCTACATCGATTAACTTGTTTTTTGAGGCTTATATACTTATAAATTTCTTGTTCTTCTTCAATTTGTCTTCTCAAAGATAGTTGGATCAGTTTACGGCGTGAGGCTCATCTTGCAAACAGTTCCCGGGATAGGACGTGGGCCACGCTTGAACGTTGATATTGCAAAGGGAGCATTGACCGAAGGTTTTCTGACATTTTCAATTGTGATAATATCACTTGGTCTGTCCAGAAAAGTTAGCGACAGTTTCTTTATGAAAACTTGGATTTCAAGTCTCTCGAAGCTCACTCTTCACCTTCTTGGCTCGGATCTCACTGGGGGATGCATGAATCCAGCCTCTGTAAGAAGTTCTTTGTATTCTATTGTGTATCATTCCTTAAGTTTTATTTGGAGAACGGCTGCAGCTACTTTAAAAATGTTATTGGTAGCTTTTGGCTGCTAGAAAAAAGTAATTCGTCCTTGTTTTCTTATGCCAATCCCTGATAATTATGATTCAGCATTTGGTTTTGACTAAAGTATAAAATGTTTTCTTCTATAACTTACTCACGAGACACTGTTCCTCTAACTCATTTCACTTTTTTCTATTTGCATAGACAGCTACTTTGTGGTTCTAACTAATCTTTTTGCATTTGGTGCAATAAATCACTTCCTCCATAAAAAA